TAGATTTGCATACTTGTGAACACGCAGAATTGTACCATTTTAAGCAGAGTAAGAAGATAAGAGTATAAGATCTATCACGGGTTTGAAGTTATTAGTGTCTTTTCCTAGTCAGCTAAGTATCTCTCACAAACACATGGTTGCTGTTGTGAGGTAATAGTGCCCTCTCAACAGGGAGAAGTGGAAACAGAGTATAAGGAGAGAACAAATAAGCCAGAAACATCTGGATTCACTTATGAAGAAAGATTTTACAATCTCAGAGTGCAACTTCCCACAAATTGCAAGTTGCCAGATGTAGCAAATGAGAATTTAAAGGAAATTCATGTACATAACTTCAATGTTTTGAAGTGACACATCACTGGTATGACTCCATACCAGTTTTTAGGCATGGAGTTGAGAACTGCTTTAACCTAGGAATCTAAGTAATGTCTAGGAATACAGAGCAAAAGCACTTTCTAAAGTCTACCTCCATGGGAAATCTAGTTGAATTTTTAATTCCTTTGACTGTCTGCTTCATGGGATTATATTTTATGTCTGGATTTGTAGACTTCTTTTCTTTTTTTTTTTTTCTTTTTGTCTACAGCTGCTAACAAAGCAGTCAAAGGAAGCAAGTCAGTATTTCCTCACCAAAATACCAGGTAGGTGAAATGGAAACAGAAAATGGAAACAAGACAGCATGCAACAGAGACATGCAACATTTCTGCCTCAGTCAAAGATCAGAAGTTCCCAAAGAAAAAAGTTTTCCCTATGTAACATCTACTTTTCACTTCTAGTCCAAAGTCAAAGAATATTTGGGATGGGATATTTATCATGGTGCAGGTGTTCTGCTGTACTTGCACAAACTTCATGCCCTATCACTGGTTAACTCCAAGAACAGCTCTTTCAGTCCTCTTCTGTCACATGTGACAGTTGGTGCTAACTAGCCCAGCAATGTCAGGAACTAGCACAGAAATGATGTTAGAACGTTGAAAGTTTTCATTCACACTAATCCACTGTGATGGACCATTACAGGTGAAAATTGAGGTACATCTCCTTCTGTCTTATGAAACACAGTAGGAAAGAATGTGATTAAGCATAAAGAGTTTCCTACAGGCACTACTACTTTCTATATACATCAAATCCATCACTTTTTCAGATTTTACAGCTAGCTTACAGCAGTTCAGAAAAAATTTCTAGTGCCTTTTGCAGTTAAAATTAATGATTAACTAAAAATATTCTAATATCTTCTTATTATAAGTTCAGACCTAGTGAGAGCAATTAAATTAGTTCATAAAAAAGAAAATTAGAGTATGTTTGCAACTGTATTTCCCATGCTGACGTTGTTAAAACAGGAAACATGAGAAAGACAAACAACCTTGATCTCTCTTCACAGAAAATGCCTGACATAGAACAGTACAAATGTCCACTGATCAATGCTGTTTATGCTCATTTGTGCTCAAATGCTATGCACATATTATGAGGAACACAGACTATATATTAATAGTACAGCAATTTCATAGCACGTTGAATGGTGCTATATTCCTACAGCTAATTTTTATTACAGCTCATAAAATGAGGCACTGACTGCTATTTGTTGCATAGCCTTCTCCCCCCCACATGAAAACCAACGAGGCTGAGTTCACCCAGAGCAGTACTTTCCATTTTATAGCTAATCAAGGCTTATGGTGAAAATTTATATGTAGAGAGCTTTAAACTCTATCAATGTTTTGGCAGTATGACAGTAATTCACGGTTTAAATAAAATCCATGTATAAATGAGATAAGTTAGCAGCTGTTGCTAACCCACATATCGGTATGAGTCAATCATCAACTATTCCATTCCTTTTAGTGGTTTTTGTCAGTTTTTTTTTCCCCTCAAAGTATTAATTCTTACATTTGCAAGTTCAGGTTTGGAGCAAGGAAACAAAGTGACCTGGAAAACAGGAGTACAATTCTTAAGTGAGCTCGGGTAGCTCCCAACAAGAACTGTATGCTGTGGAAGCAAGGCCTAAGTGCTGATGTGAGAGTTTCCCACAGCTTCTTTTGGCTTTCAAAGCCACGTGTGCCATCAGCGTCTCTTAATGAAGCTGTACATAAATATCTAACTGGTATGAAAAGATTAAAAATGTTTCACGGAACCTCAATTAAAGTCAGATGTGGAGAAAGCAGAAGCCTGAAATTTACTGTCATTTTAAGACAGAATAAAAGCAATTGTTAGTAATATTTACTCAGTAAATTGTCATATTAGGGAAGCCACGCAGAACATTTATAATTTCCTGATGCATCTTACGTTAAAGAAACAGGTGCTCTATTATTTTGTGATTAGTATCAAATTAGAACCAAAACTTCATTTGTGTTATGATTCTTCTCCTGTTGAACACTGAATTATGGCTATATAAATACCAATCATTTAAAAAATACACAGTAATTTCAACATGCCAGTAATACTTAGGTCAACAGCACTGGAAGAGGAAACTGAACAATGCAACTTATAAAGGTATTTAGTATGTGAAAATCCTGCATATCTTACTGCAAATTGTGTTGTTTCAGTGTGGGCAAACATAGTCTATACCAAGCATGTAGGGAAGGTAATGTTTTCATAGAAACTTAAGATCATCCAAAAATGCTATGCTTAATGTGGTCAGCCTCTTTTACAGAACATGCATGGCATATCCAGGACCTCTTCTGAGCACCTCAAGACCACTTCAAAAATTTGCATATTAAAGCATTTATACAAACATACATCATGAAAGCAGCTTTGCTTAGGTAAATAAAATGCCAGTGATATAACTTTAGATGCAATTTGCTGAAGCGCAGGACCAGAGTGACAAAAGTTCCAACCATATGACAACTGCCTGAGTAAAACACCTCTTCAAACGCTCTTAATGAATCAAGATTTTAAGAGAGTTCCTTTTTGGAAAAAAAATAAAGGGATGTATGTTTCCAAGTTTGATGCAAGTTTATTAGCCAAATGTAATCAACAAGTCATCTCATCCAAATCAATGATCCTACATAGTGAATTACAAAAAGAACTCTTGCATCACTGGAGTAAACTTACTGTTGGGTGAAATTCTATTCAATAGAAAGAAAGGAAATCTTCAATTATTAGAAACCAAAGTTCAACTGCAAAATCTCTTTGAAGAATGAAAGTGCAGAAAGGCAAGTAATTTCTCACCAGAACAGTAGAACAGCCAAACACTCAATACTCTAATCATCAAAGTCGGCCATACGTGTCTCTTGAAACCGCCCTCACCTTGGGGTTAAAGAGCACCTAAGCGAACTCTTAGTATACTTGGTATCCCATAAAAGACATTTGCTTACTACTTTTGTTGCAGTCATTAGAATGCCAGGTATCAAGAACATCTTAAATTGAGCACTGATCTTAAATCAATAACATCTAAATTTTAGAGTATACTTTCTCCTATGAGCAGCCCAAAAGTAGGCAGAGAAGTCATCTGGCAATCTTCCAACTCAGCTGTATAAACTGTTCATAGATTTTGAGGAATCATTATTCTATTGAGCAGGATTTTATTTTTATCCTATCTGCAAAACGAAATTATACTACTGTTTTATTATATAGAACTACTCTGTTCTTCCACCTATGAGCAATGACATCATTACATAACCTCACTACTGAACTCAAAGATTTTTGAAAGTACTTTAATTCCATCTATTTCTGATAAACTTTGAACTTTACAAAGTTACAATAAACTTGCAGCAGACTCTACATTCTGTAAAGAGTGGCTAAAACTTTATAAATAAACACATGCATGCAGTATGAAGCAGCAGAATTAAAAAATAAATAGCTGCAAAACAATTTATTACTAACTAGGGCAGAAATAATTCTTTTTAATGCTGTCATTAGCTGACTAACGACTTCTAAGCATCCTACAAGTCATGTATGGCAATCAGACTACAATCACTCTTCTTGCTAATAGGTAGCACCTGGTAAAGAGTATTTATTTTGCTTTGCTGGATCCCCTCATATATGCTAAGTTTTTGTAGGCATCACTAGTCTGATTTAAGAGTGCATCAAGTATTTTATGGTTTAATGTCTCCAGCATCTGCTCCAATTATTTTAAAAGGTTAAAACATGAAACAGAGAGTCAAGTCACTATTATTCCTGCAAACCTTATTAAGTAAAAGCGTTGAGTCAATTGCAGCTGAAAAAACAGTTATAGCATTTGCACAGGCTACAGTAACTAAATAATCACTTTTTAAAGCCAACTCTGGAAACATCCATGTGATACTGTTGCACCACAATTAAATTATGTTGAGGAGTATAGATTTACAGATGGAGGAAGGATTATAAATCATTATTAAATGCAACTTTAAGACAGATACTCTTTTTGATTGAACAGACTCAATATCACAACTTTTTCGATATCTCTCATGAAAGCAGAACACACATTTAATTCCACATTACAACTTCTGCCACTGAATGAATAAATGAACAGCATTGTTTTCCTCATACTGTAATCCATGAAGGAGCAAAGCTATTGTAATTTAGACTGAGTTAAAACGATAACTGGTTTTCTTACACCACATACTACAAGTCAATTCTTTTCTTTAAAATAAACACTTATAAATTCTGATATTAAAAAGTTCTGACTAATTTTCAAAAATGTCTAATCTTCAGTCCCAACCAGCAGCAAAAACCACCTGGCAACTTGTGTAAATGCTGTGGCTGTAAGTCCAAAGTGGGCTCTGTGCTATCATGACTACCTATTGTTGGTATACTTTATCAACAGTGCTACACATTTCTAACCGGCTGTTAAAATGCATCCCATACTGCACATCATCTGCCCTTAAAGAAAAAAAAATGGATTCTCACATCAGCATTTCTCATTTCTCATTAGAGGACACCTCCTAACTCACTGTACGAATACACACATGGCTCATGTAAATCATCCTGTAAATCAAACATTAATGCTTGATTCTACCAATGATTCATTTACTCGTATGGTTACACAGCTGAAAATAACCACCTGGTTTTCCTTTAATATCCAAAGCATATTTTCTTACCTCAGCAGCCTGTGTCTCTTGATGTAATAAAGTTAGACCTGTCAAGTCTTCTAAGAAGGAATGTGAGGAATTAAAAACTTTAGCTAGGAAATTAAATCCTTCACGTTCATATTGGTCGAGGACCTGTCAAAAAACAAATGAATAGACAAACAGAAGAGGATTTAAGATAAATGATTCATCATCTTGTTTTCATCATGAAATAAAAATAAATGCTTTCCAAACATTTGGAAGATTAATACATACTGTACACAGGTAAAAATTACTGAAGAAAGAATGATCATTTCTCTCACTTCAATTTCTAAGTGTGGGAAAAGTGGAGCTAAGAGGGAAGAAATGTGAAGTTTAACATTTCCTGGTTTAAAAATATTTTTAAGTGTATAACAAAACAGACGACGCAGAAAAAAACAAAATTTTGTTCTAATGTCATGAAAGGATTTGAGTTACATAAAACAGCAGAAGATTGTTCCAATGTATCACTTAACTAAAAGGTAGAGCTCTAGCAGAACAATTCTGCGTAAAACACCAATACAGAACACCACTGCAGAGAACACAGACACCCATTCTTTCACAGTATATATTCCATCTCTGTTAATTTGAAGCAGAAAGAGAAAGTTGTATAGCTAACGTATTCCTTAAACATATCCACCCTCACTGGATGGACAAGCTCCCTGCAACTAGTGGAAATCACTTCATCCAGAAAAGAAAGAAAAAGAACAACTGGAAGTGTTGCAGTTTCATTCTAACACACAGCCTAAGTAAGCTTCATTCCAAGGTTTGAAACAAACAGGCAATCCCTGTCCTCCTGGCCCCCAAATCATTTATTCTTCAGACAATAAGAAAAAAAAACTAAGATGAATGGTGGTGGAGAAGAAAATGGTTTTGTTATGTATTCATTTATCTCAACCAGAATTACAACTTACACTCAACAATCTCACTCTTTTGTAACTTAACAACTCCTAAAGGCCTCAGATAATCTTAAAACTGTGGGAACTTGCACAGTCAACAGCATTCTTCAGAAAAACAGGTCCAGTGAGCTTTTCCCCAAGTCCTACAGGAATTCAGGACTGTTTCAAAAAATCACTTCCATTTAGCTGATAGAATTGTTAGAGTACATATATGAAAAAATATATATAAAACATACATGTTATATATATATATACACGAGTATATACATATATGTGTATATATATACATAGGTGAAAAAGAGTGGGATCCTCATTCAGTTAATCACACAAAATGTCCACTTAGGAGCAAAAGCACCTATTCCATACTTAGGTTCCAAAATGTACACACAGAATCAATAAAAATAAAGAGTAAGAAATCAGATGTAAGCAACTGTGACAAACGTTTGGCATGTTCTTAAACATGATCTACACATCTGAAAAAAATATTACAATAAAACAGCACATTGTGTTCTTGTACTACATCTGGAGAAACTGCTCCTTACACTTTAAAGATTCTTTTTACTCTATACAATTTTTTGTGCATTTGTGCAATGACCAATACACGTGATCAGAAGTGAAAAAATTATAAGCAGAAAAAATTGCTTAGCTGTATTTCATGGGACTGCATTTCTTTTGTTTGCATATTCCTGAGACAAACACACTAAGGCAAACTGTACATGATGCAATGCAAAGATTTGAAAAACTTCAGTGTCCATTTGATAAGTATCCTCCTAATATTATCCACTATATACATTGTGAAATTACAGTGGAGATATGTATATACATTTTGATGACTATTCCATGTTCCAAAACTCTGTAATACCAGATGTGCTGAGGTCTCTTGCATTTGGCTCTTTGTGAAACACTGCATACGCACTCAGGTTATAAAACTTTAGTTATGTTCACAGTCTTACCTGTTTGTAATCTGTGAAGCTAGCAGCATTATCAAATGTGTTGCTATTACTTATATTTGTTGGAACCAGGATACAGAACTTAGGAGACATCTTTTTAGTGATGTTGGCTGGGTTACAGTTAATGGCATATTAAAACAATACACAGACAATGAAACCATAGTCATGTTCTAACACATTATAGCACATAACAGCCTCTTCCCAGAGGTAAAATCTAGAAAAGGCATATGCTGTCGGGATATGCAAACAAAAGGAATGGAACAGGAAACAGAGTGCAACCATACCATGTACCATTAAAAATGTCTACTGAATAGCCCTCAAATCTTGTTTATTGTTACTCAGCACAACATGCCTTGATTCTCATTTCCAAAGAACCGTGACTCAAGCCTGAAGCGCAAATTTCCAGGTATTGCTTCCTCAATGAGTACATTGCTTCAGTCTGCCAGGGTCCTCCGTATAAACTGCTCTGGTTTATTGCATAAATATGCATAACCTTTCTGTATTCCTTGCCACAGCTGTAAATGAATTCTCACGTACTCTATAATAAAGCAGGCTGCATGACTGCACCGACATTTAAAATGTTTAAGGTGAGTTCTGGATGAATCAACTGGAATTTTTTTTTTTTTCAATCCAAGTAGTGTAATCACTGCGGAAGAGGCTGGGAAGTCTCTCATGAAGTGTCTTTCAAAATGCATATTAGGAAAACATTAATAAGATCACAAAACTAGGAGTTAAAGGGGTATAATTTTTTACCCAGTGAATTGAATCTTTGGGGATTTTTTTGTTGCTTTGTTTTTTATTTATTTTTTGTTTTGTTTTTTTAAGAAGTTATACAGGAATATTTTACCATGCCCGAAATTTTGTATTATGGAAAGATCTGAAAATTTACTTCACCTCCCCTCAAAAAAGAAACTCCACTATATCATGTTCTAGACTTCCCATAGCATTATGACAGCAAACTTGGGTTAAGGTAACAAGTCTGGCTAAGGAAAGATGCTATCTCAAAAATCTAAGCCTATAATAATGATGAGTATTTTTCTTATATTAGCAACTGGAGAAGCCTGAAAAACTTTAAAAAGTGTACTTGCTGTTAAACATTTTTACAGCGCGAATGGTCTGCTGAATAGAATAACTGCTAATTAGCTTTAAAATAAAAATTCCAGCCACATGACTCAGAGAAAAAGCTATTGGGGAGCCAAGGAACAATCAGGCAGCATCATTCAGTGTGCAACCTGAACAAGGGCTGCACCATTAAAGGTAGCACACGCTGTAATGAAATGGCCTTAATGTAAGCAGCAATTGAAACAACATTTTCATCATCTTGGGGGACTTTATTTCTGAATTCAGATGATTAAAACTTTACAATAAATACCACAGAAGGAATAAATATCATTAACCTGCCCATGTCCAGCCTCTACTACACACGTTTAGTGACACCTGTCATCTATGTATGTATGTAATGAATGTAACGCAGCATTGGTTTGTCCAGTCGTCACTGAACCTCTAAAGGAGAAAAGAATGAAGTAAAATAAAACTCATCTCAAATTCATGTGTCAGAAGACCACACAGGCACACTCTGCAGATCGTCAGGAATAAAGCCAGTCTAGACATCAAGTAGCAAAAAAAAAAAAAAAAAATTTTTAAACATTTCCAGGGCATAATCAATGCCCTAGTTGGAGCTGTGTGGAAAGGAAAATTTCTCCTCCTTAATCACGTCCAGCAGAGCCCAAAGGCCCAAACTCCATTAGCATGAGTTTGCTTTTTAATTCTTCTCTTCACTGCTAACAGCATACTTGGTACCAGTTACCATCTGAATAACTGCTTTACAGAAGGACAGATATACTTGAGAGATGTTATTTTTATTATTGATCTCAAAGTAGTGACTATGACAGCAGATATAAAAAAAACCTGAGAATTTTTTTCTGGGAATAAATGTATCACTGCCCAGTCATAACACTGATGTGTCACCACGTAACGATAAATTTTCTCAAGCAGTAAAAACTGCAAAGCAACAAAAAGAACCAGAAGTAATAATTCTTCTGCTGAGCAAGGCCAGCTGGAGCAATACAATTTATTACAGGAGCCTCATCTTTTTCTCACTTGCAAGTCACTTTTCAAAGATCAAGAGGAGAATTAGACAGTAGCAAACCTTATGTGCAATTACTGTCAGGAGGACCCAACAAATTTTAACATCACATTCTTCTCTATCACATTTAAATCTCCTTCCCCTGTTGACATCACAGCCTTGGTTCCAGTCTCCATTTCACAGAATCAGGGCTACAATTATTATTTCATATGCAACGGCACTGTAATAGGTGTGGACACACTTCTTCACAAATTAATGCATTCCTAAAGACTTTTCTGAGTCTTGTATGTGTATCATCTACATTTCTTACAGTCATTTTATTCTTGTCTGTTTACCAATGGGAGAAAAAAAAAGAGAATCTCACAGTAGGAGAAAGAAACAGAACTTATTCAGAAATGAGAAACAGATGTACAGCTTTGGTGTTATATTCTTTTTAATAGCATTCTTTACAAAGAGTTGCTCAGTAAAACGGCATTCAAAAAAGAGAATCTGGCTTCAAGAATGCTTTGTGGGATGAACGTTACTATATGGCTAAAGAAGCATACAAAAACTCCTAATCACAACAGGCTGACAACTCATGTAGAGATGGCTCACACCTTATGGCTCATTTCTGTCACAGATTTTTAGGTTTTTTTTAAACCAGTATTTAAGTATGGAGCATATCTAGAGCCTGAGTATTGTTTAGCTTCCACAAAAAAAACTTTATGGGTAAATAGTATTATATTTATTGTAAAAAAAAAAAAAAAACTATGAATAACATACCTCAAAAACAACAAGGCTGCTGTGTTTAACACACACAACTTTGAAAGCCTTCCTCTCAAAGATAACAAACATTTACAAACCCAGATATATTTTTGCACACTGCTATCTATCAGAGGCAGTGGAGAATGAGTAGAACATCAGAGCGAATCTCAGCATGCTGAAAACAGAAATTTCAGTTTCAACATCTGCCTGTAAAATTAGATAAATTCAAGTTGCTGGTTTTCAAACTTTTCAAAGCTGGATAATAACTACAGTTAAAACAAAATTTAGCAGAAGACTATAAAGCTGTGGAGAATTCTCTTAAGTGAGAAGGCAGTATGATGAAGTACAAGAGCCATCACAAATGGGTGCAGGCATTTGCAAAAGGCAACAGTGCTAAAATCTCAGCATTTTTATCAGGAGACCCATAATTTGGTTTCC